CTCATTGGCTTAGATATAACACCTAGAAGCATATAGCTATTCTTATGCACACATGCAAAGTATGTTGCAGCTGTTATTTCTATGAAATTAAATTGTCTTTGCTATTCTGTTACTAATAAAATAGTTTATTTCACTGCTTATCCTATTTTGGCACAATCCCTAAATTGAACTTGAGTAGTTTTACTAAGGGCACCCATCTCACATGAAATGGAACTATGTCAAACATATTCTACCTGCCTTCCTGATATAAATTACTATGAATTTGATATGGTAATTAATACTGAGACACTAATTTGGGCAAAAAGCACTAATGACTTGTTTAAGACTTGAATCTTAAAGCTGAGGACTTGCAACTCGACTTGGACTTGCCTGTCTTGACTCGGGACTTGACTCGAGACTTGAATGCAAAGACTCGAGACTTACTTGTGACTTGCAAAACAATGACTTGGTCCCACCTCTGATATGAAGTATCTCAAGGCAAATTTTAATCTATAAAAATATACTAAAAAGAACAATCAACAAAACTAGTCACAGTTTACAGCAAGTTTGTTGTCCAAAACTCTGATGTAACTCCCTGTAAATGGAAACCGAAATCACATGCGAGTAGATACTACAGCCATAATTTACCAGCCGTACATCTTAGCTGCTGAAGTGACTGAGAGCCGATCCTGTAAGATGATCTCAAATTGTCTTCAGATTGTAGATTCTCCCTGGTTATGTGTTTGTCCATCCTGCCAAGACACAAGAAATGTGTATCAGCTGTCTTTCTTCAATTTTTGTCAATTTTGGACACTTTTTTGGACACAAATGTAGAAGCGGTAGCACAGAGGTAGCAGAGGAACATTTCAATTTTACTTGAATCACTACAGTATATATCATCTACCAAGCAGTTAGTTTCTGCTGATGTGGGGAAATCATGTCACATTCTGGAGGGAATGATAAGTGAGCAGGAACTAAGCATAAAGAGAATGAATCTGCATTTGCAGAAATCAATCTCCTCACAGGTCTCGAATGAGCCAATCAAGCTAGATCTGTGTCAAAGCTGTATTCTAAGCATCTTAGGGCCTGACCTTTCATTAGTCTATTTCAAATTAAGTATTTTGAGCTAATTTTGAGATACTCATGCCTCACTTGCTAAACAGTGCAGTATATTGACTTTTAAATGGCACAGAATATTATGAGAATGCTTTGATGGCTGTTAAACATAGAATTCAAAAGTATAATATTCATAGAACATAACCATAGCAAATG